TATGTATGTGTGTGCGTGCGTTCGTGCGTGTGTGGTGTGACAGTGTGTGTGTGTGTGTGTGTGTGTGTGTGTGTGTGTGTGTGTGTATGTGTGCGTGCGTGCGTGCATGCGTGTGTGTGTGTGTGTGCATATGTCGGTCTGTGTTTGCGCGCGTACGTACATCGGTGTGTAAGTGCCTTCGTGCGTGCATGAATTTGTGTGCGCGTGTGCGCGTGTGTGCGTATGTGTGTGTGTGAGCGTGTGTGCGTGCGTGTGCATTCGTGCGTGCGCACGTGCATGTGTGCGTATGTTCATGCGTGTGCGTGCGTGCGTGCTTGAGTGCGTGTGTGTGGTGTGTATGTGTGTGCATGTGCGTCTGTGCGCACGTGCGTTTGTACATGTGTGTACGTGCCTGCGAGCGTTAATGTGTGCTTATGCGTGTGTGCGCGTGCGTGTGTACGTAGGTGTGTGCGCGTGCGTGTGTACGTAGGTGTGTGCGTATGTGTGTGTGTGTGCGTGCGTGCGTGCGTGCGTGCGTGCGTGCGTGCGTGCGTGCACGTGTACAGCAGCATTAGCCTGGACCGCTCACTCTGCGCATGTGCAAGAAAGCAGGTAAGAACGTAAGAACTCATGAACTTCTCTCGTCTTTCCACCAGGAACCGATCTGCATCCCTGCGTATTGGAAACCCGCCGAAACGTGAGCATTTTCTATACACATAGCACATAGCATATATATATATATATGCTATAGCATATACATAGCATGTTCTATTTTCTATGTCTTTCGGCACATATATCTACCTGACCATGTGTCTCTCAAACTGTCTTTGATAACTGTTTATATTCTAGTAGTTGCTGCTCGCAACGAATGCTGCTCCCTGTGGCTGTGTTTCTGTCTTTCTCTTTGTCTGTATCTCTGTCTGTCTCTCTCTCTCTGTCTTTCTGTCTGTCTCTCTGTCTGTCTCTCTGTTTGTCTCTCTTTTTAGCGATAGACCTGACTCGTAAAACATGCTTGGAGAACCGGAATGGTGTTTGGTTTACAGATGCAGCTACTTGTAATGTTAACAACAACAACAATAACGACAATGACAACAACAACAACCAACAACGACGACAATGACAACAACAACAACCAACAACGACGACAATGACAACAACAACGACAACAACAACAACAACAACAACAACAACATTACTATAGTAATGCTATATATAGCTGTTATCACCTTAGGCCATAACAAAATATATGTGTGGTTACCGTTACATGCCGAAAAAAAATAGGGTAGGTAGGTAGGGGAAACATTTTATTTTCTTGAAATATTTTATTTACGAACCATGTCCGAAGGATGTTGCCTTTTGAAGCAGGAACTGTCCAATTCATTTTTTTGATTTTTTTTTTACTTTAAAGAAAATTTACAATAAAATGTTTAGGGTCGCTGGGAATAAATAGGGTCGGTCGGGAAACCGTAACCACACCTATATTATATACCTCAGTAGAAAGAAGTGACAATGGCTATACAGCTACTACTCGTCTGACTTCTGACTTCTCGCTCCTCGCGTGCCTCGTGTCTGTATCATGTATGTGTGTGTGTGTTGTGTCGACAGCAAGGGAAAGGTACTGAGCAGCTGCTAAGTGACTGTAATCGCATTCTGCAAATCATCGCCTCGCGCACCATCGTTAATGAGAACGAGGAGCTACAGCTTACTACCATGGCGACCAACATCTGTAAGTGCTGCTGAGAGGGTCTATGTCCCCCAGGGTACTGCCGGAACGTACCCTGGTACTAAATACTACTATCTAATATGCCGGACCATACCTCGCCTACTCCACTAACGAGTCTAGGGAGTCGCCTATGCCTACTCCCTAACCCTAACCCTAACTCTAACTCTAACCCTAACCCTAACCTTAACCATATCAGCTAGATAATTACCAGGGTACGTTCCGGCAGTACCCTGGGGGACATAGACCCTATGAGCGTAAGTGCTGTGTGTCTCGTATGGTGGCAGCGGCAGCATCCAGGGGGCCGTTGTCAGAAACATCGTAAAGTTAATGTTAAGACTAATGTTAGGACAAATTTGGTTTCTGACAACGGGCCCCATGTTGTGTTTCATCAAATATTATTTATTTGTGGTTATACCCATCATGATATGCATAAATTACTGTGATGTACGGTACAATAAATGTGTATGCATTTGAGTTTTGTGATCGATTCTCATCCAATCAGCAGCCTTGTGGCATGAAATTATGAAGTTCTTGTTATCGTGAGTTTTCTCATAGCTGCGATATGTTTCTGTCAACGCTACTCTCGTAACATTAACATTAGTCGTAAGTGTTATCGTAGCATTAATATTAGCATTAACTTTACGATGTTTCTGACAACGGCCCCCTGCGATGCTGGCAGGAAATCGTGCGCATGTAGGCGCAGGTGCGAGCACACCTGAGGCGAATCACTAGCAGCTGCATTGTAATTACCTCTGCCAAGGAGGTTATGTTTTCGCCCCTGTTAGTTGGTTTGTTTGTCTGTCAACAGGATATCTCAAAAAGTTACAGACGCATTTTGATGAAATTCTTTGGACGGGTTGGTCTTGGGCCAACAACCAATCGATTAGATTTGGGTGGTGATGTTTTTTGTGGGGAAGACTTCAGACGCATTTAAAATTCATCAAAAAAAAAATTCCTATTCCAAATTTCTGAAAATTTTATCAAACTATATTGTGTGTACCAGCAAGATGTTCTTCCCTAGTCTACTATTCCCTCCACTTGTCTGTAGGTGTCTTTCCTGGCTATCAGTATCAGTCCCTCCTCCTGCATATTAGTTCCTAACTCTGTATATCAGCTCTTCCTCCTGCCTCCCTCTTGCTTTCCTTGGGAGCCAGTCGCACTCATGTGTTTTTTTTCTCCCGGAAGATTCCTGCACCCTGAAGTGGAAGAGGCAGGAGGGTGTATTTCACAAGGTGAAGTTTGACGCCTGTGCTGACAGCGACAGCGTCCTGGATGAGTGGGGCCAGACAGACCTGTCTATCAGCATGCCTCCCGCGGCACACGAAAACTCCTACAAGAATCGTACGTAGCCATGGCAACCACATACCTGCACGTTACCAGGACAACTGGTATATGCATCGCGACGACGTACGCGATTGTAACCAAGGCAACCACATACCTGTGCGTTGCCAGGACAACTCTATATGCATCGCAACGACGTACGCGATTGTAACCAAGGCAACCACTTGCGTGTATCATGTAACCATGACGACCTGTTTCTGCATAATCTCGCAGCTTTGTGGTAGGCGCTAGAGGGTGAGGGAACGGTGTAGGTCGCCCGATATCGATTGAATTGATTTGATTGAATTGGCGATTGATTTGATGATTGATTTGATTGACTATTGATTGTTGTAGGTGATTGTTCGGCTTCCCTCACAATGTATAAGACTCTGGATCGCACCATGCCAACGGATACTGAAGTGTGAGTATTCCAACTGTGCTACAGTATCGTGCTGTGCAACAGACACAAACAGTATGAGAGTGCACTGAAGTGTGTGTGTGTGCGCGCCTGCTCGCGCGTGCGTGCGTGTGTGCGTGCGTGCGTGCGTGCGTGTGTGTGTGAGTGTGTGTCTGTGTGTGTGCGCGCGCACGTGTGTGTGTGTGTGTGCGTGCTCGCGCGTGCGTGTGTGTGTGTGTGTGTGTGAGAGAGAGACATAGAGAGAGAAAGAGAGGTATAGCGAGAGAACGAAAAAGGGAGAGTGTGAGCGAGAAAAAGAAAGAGAAAGCCTTAGAGGGAGAGAGGGGAAAGAAAGAAAGGGGAGAGTGTGAGAGAAAGGGAGACAAAGAGAGGGAGAAGGGGCGAAATCGATATAGAGAGAGAGAGTGAGAAGGAAAGAACGAGAGAGGAAAAAAGGACCGACGCAGAGAGGGAGAGGAGAAAGATATATATTTTCCTGTTATTGTATCTCAAGCTCATCCATCTCCTCGGTTTTCCCCCAACAGAGGGCAGCACTTCAAGGCGAAGAAGACCTACGAGTCGGACAGCCTGGTGGTTACTCTGGATGTTTACCCTGAGCTGCGACAGCGAGCACTGTGGGGCCACTATATTTACGTTCTGCTGCGACGCAAAGGACATGTAAGGGAGTCATACCTGCGTTTGTGTGTGCGCTTGTGTGTGCGTTCGTGCGTGTGTGGTGTGACAGTGTGTGTGTGCGTGCGTGTGTGTGTGTGTGTGTGTGTGCGTGCGTGCGTGCGTGCGTGCGTGTGTGGTGTGTGGTGTGTGTGTGTGTGTGTGTGTGTGCGTGCGTGCGTGTGTGTGTGCGTGCGTTCGTGCGTGCGTGCGTTCGTGCGTGTGTGGTGTGACAGTGTGTGTGTGTGTGTATGTGTGCATGCGTGTGTGTGTGTGTGTGCATATGTCGGTCTGTGTTCGCGCGTGTACGTACATCGGTGTGTAAGTGCCTGCGTGCGTGCATGAATTTGTGTGCGCGTGTATGCGTATGTGTGTGTGTGAGCGTGTGTGCGTATGTGTGTGTGTGAGCGTGTGTGCGTATGTGCATGCGTGTGCGTGCGTGCGTGCCTGAGTGCGTGTGTGTGGTGTGTATGTGTGTGCATGTGCGTCTGTGCGCGCGCGCGTTTGTACATGTGTGTACGTGCCTGCGAGCGTTAATGTGTGCTTATGCGTGTGTACGTAGGTGTGTGTGTGTGCGTGCGCGCGTGCGTGCGTGCGCGTGTACAGCAGCATTAGCCTGGACCGCTCACTCTGCGCATGTGCAAGAAAGCAGGTAAGAACGTAAGAACTCATGAACTTCTCTCGTCTTTCCACCAGGAACCGATCTGCATCCCTGCGTATTGGAAAATCGCCGAAACGTGAGTATTTTCTATACACATAGCACATACATAGCATGTTCTATTTTCTATGTCTCTCGGCACATATATCTACTTGACCATATGTCTATCAAACTGTCTTTGATAACTGTTTATTTTCTAGTAGTTGCTGCTCGCAACGAATGCTGCTCTCTGTGGCTGTGTTTCTGTCTTTCTCTTTGTCTGTCTCTCTGTTTGTCTCTCTGTCTGTTTCTCTGTTTGTCTTTCTGTCTGTCTCTCTGTCTGTCTTTCTGTTTGTCTCTCTGTCTGTCTTTCTGTCTGTCTTTCTGTCTGTCTCTCTGTTTGTATCTCTGTCTGTCCCTCTGTCTGACCTTATGTCTGTCTCTCTGCCTGTCTCTCTGTCTGTCTATCTGTTTGTCTCTCTGTCTGTCTCTCTGTATGTCCCTCTGTCTGTCTCTCTGCGTGTCTTTCTGTCTGTCTTTGTTTCTACCTCTCTCCCTCTCTGTCTCTTTCTCTCTCTTTCACATATACGTACGCACATGCGCCCACACATGCACACATGCATACACAAACACATGCCTACATACACACGCACGCACACGCATGCACGCACGCACACATACGCACGATGAATGCACGCACGCACGCACGCACGCACGCACTAGTTTCTGTGACTTTGTTTGCTCTTGTCGTCTGTTGCCGTGGTGTCGCGACCGCCCGTGTACAGTAATCTGTGTTGTTGTTGAGTGTGTCTGTGTGCTTTGTTGGCATGACGACAGCGAGGGAGGCTGGGCCGGATGGAGCACGCACGGCGTCAGCGTCGTGTGGTGTAACGAAACGCACGCATACTTCAAGGTCGACCACCTGACGAGTTTCGCCATCCTTGTGCAGACGACTCCAACGTGGGTACGCATGTAGCGCCATCTTGTGTGCGCTATTGGAACCTATTTGTTGCTCCCTCGTCGTTTCCTACTCTTTCTCTCTCTCTCTCTCTCTCTCTCTCTCTCTCTCTCTCTCTCTCTCTCTCTCTCTCTC